TGTTTTGTTCAATTGTATTATAACTAACGATATAGGCAATTCTATTAGAGATAGCGGGAGGCATTATAGTAACCATTGTTGATCACCTTGTATTATGTTTTTACATTATCTATTATGTCCACCCTTTTGACTTGACCAATTCTGTTCTGTTATGTCACATTTGGTTTTACTCTCTTCCAAAAAAGTAATAAGAACAGTGGGAGCAATGAAACCCAAAATGTGTAATAGTCATGGTACAAAAGAGAGGAAAAGAAAGTGCTCCAAACTATATAACTGCATGTATATTTAAGTGTATAAGATAGAAAATGATATCACAGAGTTTTATTGGATCAATGAACAGAACTGTTTGCAGTATCATTGATGGAATGTCCACTTTACAAGCTTTAATTTTGTGACTTGAACAATTATTTCTAAGATGACAATATGTAATCCATTAACTAGTGATTTCCTACTGTTCATTTTTTTCTGTAAATCTGTATAACTTGTACCCTTTCCCTGCTTTTTTTTTCTTTTCTCCTTAAATAAAATTAAAAAAAAAATAAAATAAAGGCCATCTATGACAAATTGACAGCCAACAATAAAATAAATGGACAAAAATTGAAAGCATTCACACTAAAATCAGGAACATGACAAGGATGTCCACTATTACAACTCATATTCAATATAGTTCTGGAAATACTAGCCAGGACAATCAGATAGGAAAGAGAAATAAAAGGAATAAAGATAAGAAAGGAAGAAGTTAAACTATCACTATTTGCAGATAATATGATACTCTATACAGAAGACCCAAAAAACTCCACTAAAAGACTACTGGAGGTAATAAACAAATTCAGCAGTGTAGCTGGATACAAAGTCAATGCTGAAAAATCAATAGCATTCCTGTACACAAACAAAAAACTCACCGAAAGAGGAAAGGATGGAAATATCGCCTTTCACAATAGCATCTAAAATTATGAAATACTTAGCAATCAACCTAACCAAGAATGTAAAAGACCTATATGCTGAAAATGATGCTACAGTAAAACAGGAGTTTGAAGAGAATATTAGAAAATGCAAGGATATTCCTTGCTCTTGGCTAGGAAGAACCAACATTGTGAAAATGGCCATATTCCCAATACTGTTATACAAATTTAATGTAATCCCAGTCAAAATATCATTGACATATCTCATAGATCTAGAGAAAACAGTCCTAAAATTCATTTGGAAGCAGAAGAGACCTAGAATAGCCAAGGCAATTCTGGGCAACAAAGGCAAGGCAGGAGACATCTCAATTTCTGACTTGAAACTATACTACAAAGCCACAGTGATAAAATCAGCATGGTACTGGAAAAGAAATAGATCTGAGAATCAATGGAACAGATTGAAAGATGCAAACACAACTACAAAGACACTCCGCCATTTGATATTTGACAATGGGGCTAAACATGTTCACTAGAAAAAGGATAGCCTCTTTGATAAATGATGTTGGAGACTGCGGCCCTTCCAGGTGGAAAACCACCAGTCTCCTGAGATCCATGCCATGTTGGAACTTAGGGCCCTGGGAAACCAAGCAAGCAGCTCCCCTCCCTGGTAAGCAATAGTGAGCCTACTGGTGCATGGCCTAGAGTCAAACATCCTGCTTCCCTACCTCCCTTCCCCTGTCCCCCCATTAGCAAATGGGAACCAGAAATCTGAGCATCTCTTGGGAGGTTGGTCATAGCAAATAAGGGGGATTTCCTTCTACCATCTCTTTGAAGGCAAATATTTTATTATTGTTTTGCTTTATTCTGATTAATGGTACTCCACTATTCAATATTCTGTTTTGATAAGTTCTATAATGCTCTGTATCTCATTTTATTTTGATATATGTGATTGAAAGAACAACTATTGTAAAGATAATAAAATATACTGTGATACCTATTACTGTTATCCCGCTAACTGCTTTGAAGTTCTGTACCGGTTTCACTACATGGTCTCATTTGGCTTTATTCTGTCTTGTTCTGTTGCATTTTACTACTTTCAAAAAAAATGATGTTGGAAAAATTGGCTCTCCACATGCTGGACTGAAACTAGACCCATGCATATCACCCTGCACAAAACTAAAGTCTAAAATGGATCAAAGATCTAAATATTAAAACAAAAACACTAAATCTACTGGAAGACAAGGTAGGTAGAAACCTTGGAGACATAGGAGTAGGCAGAGAATTCATGAAGAAAATGCAAATTGTATGGGAAACACTTCAAAGTATCAACAACTGAGATCTCATATCATTGAAAAGTTTCTGCACTTCAAAAGAAAGCACTAACAGAGTGAAAAGAAATAGAATGGGGAAGAATTATATCCAGCAATTATATCCAGAATTACATGCACTTATATCCAGAACATATAAAGAATTGGAAAACATTAAGCCCCCCAAATTCAAAGACTATCTCCAAAAATGGGCATCTGAGATGAACACACATTTCTCAGATGAAGGTATGCAAATGGCAAATAAATACATGAGGAAATGTTCACCATCACTGGTCATTCAAGAAATCCAAATTAAAGCAGCACTGAGATATCATCTCACTCCAGAAAGAATGGCTGCCATCAAGAAATCAACTGATAACAAATGTTGGCAAGGCTGTGGGGAAAAAGGAACACTGCTCCAGTGTTGGTGGGAGTATACACTGGTGCAGACACTATGGAAGTCAATATGGAGATTTCTCAGAAGACTAGGATTGGAAATTCCATTCAACCTAGCTATTTCCCTCCTGAGTATTTTCCCAGAAAATCTGAAAAGATTATGTCACTGTGATATATGTGCACCCGTGTTCATAGTAGAACAATTTGTAACAGCTAAATCTTGGAAACAACCAAGATGCCCATCAACCACAGAGTGAATGAAAAAGACGTTTTATTTTCATACAATGGAATATTATTCAGCTATAAAAAAGATGATGTTGAGGTCTTCATAGGTAAATGGAGGCAACTTGAGACTATCCTCATAAGTGAAATAAATAAGAATCATATTTTTAAATATCATATTGTGTCTCTAGTGTAAGAAGTAATAAGAACTGTAGGAGTAATAAAACCAAAAATGTGTAATTGCTATTGTAAAAAAGAGAGGAAAAGAAAAGCTCTAAAGGATATAACTGCATGTATATTTCAGTGTGTAGGGTTAATAACCATATTACTAAGTCTATATTGGATCGTTGAACAGAACTGTATGCAGTCTCACTCATTGAATGTCCACTTTGTATGCTTTAATTTTGTAACTTGAAAACTATTTCTAAGATGACAGTATGTAATTTATCAACTAGTGATTTCTTAGTGGTTTTTTTTCTTTTTTTCCTTTGGAATTCTGTATTGTTTTCTGTTTTGTTTTGTTTTTTCCTCTTTTAATAAATTTTTTTAAAAAATTTTTTAAAACATTGATTAAAATATATATAAAACCTAAAAAAATTAATTTTTTAACACCAAAAGCATAGGCAGCAAAAATAAAAAGAGATAAATTGAAATATATCAAAATTAAAAGCACCTATAAATCAAAGAATACAACAAAGTGAAAAATCAACCTAGGGAATGAAAGAAAAGTATTTGCAAAATTGATAGATTGCTAATATCTACAATATTTAAAATACTAGAACTCAACATGAACCACAAATGACCCACATGGCCCACCATAAGAATTGGAAAAATATTTCTTAGAAATTTCTTCAAAGAAGATACAGAGGTGGCCCGCAGATTATGAAGAGATGCTCAACATTACCATTACAGAAATCACAATCGACGTGCAATATAACTCATAGCCATTAGAATAGCTACTATGAAATGGGGGAAGGAAACAGATGCTGGTGAGGAAACGTGTGGACACTGAGACTCTCATGCACTGTTGGTGGGAATGTAACATGGTGCAGGTATTATGGAAAGCAGCAAGGAGATTCCTCAAAAAAATTAAAAATAAAATTAGCATGCAATCCAGTAACTCCAGTGCTGGCTATATAAGCAAAATAAAGCAGAGTTTGCAAGAGATCTGTGTACACTTGTGTTCAAACCAACAGGATCACAATAGCTACAAGTGGGAAGCAACTCAAGCGTCCACAGTCAGATGAGTAGTTGAACAAATGTGGCACGTGCATGCAATGCAATACTACTCAGACTTAACAAGAAGGGAATTCTGTCATTAGAGCAACATGGATGAAGCTGAAAGATGTCACGCTAAGAAAAATAAGCTAGTCTTAAAAAGACAGATACTGTATGATTCCACTTCCATGAGGTTCTTCGAGTAGTCAAAATCTTAGGGACAGAAAGGGGCTGGCCACGAGGAAAGGATGAGATGCTGTGGAACACACAGAACTTCTGCTTTGCAAAATGAGAGTTCTGGGGACTGGGACACAATGTGAATGTACCTAATACTCCTGAACTGTTCATTTCAAAATGTTCAAGATGGTAAATTTTTTATTATGCATAATTTTACCACAGTGTTTTAGAAGGTTCCTCTGTTACGAACAATAATACATTTCTGGCCTGGCCCTGTCACTCTAGCTAGATGACACTGGAAAGTCTCTTGCTCTTTCTAAACCTCAGCTTCCTTCTGTGAAACAGGGTAGTACTTCTCAGGAACAAATGTAATGGCTAACATGAGTCGTGTGTACGGAAACACTTCGCTTCTCCTTATACAAAACATCAGCTGTCAAAGAAAATGATGATTGGAGTATCAACAGAGCCACTGAATTTGGTACAACTAATTAGTGCTACTTAAAGGTACACAGTTAAAATTTAGGTTCCCAGTTTTTTGGTCCACCCCACACACTTCTTTGAGTAAGAGTTCTTAATCATACCATATCCGAGTTTATCCACCTCGAGCTTATTAAGAGGGGACATCCTGAAAACACTGGTCCTCACTGAGCCTGATGGGCCTTGCCTTTTGTTTCTATCTGTTAACACCTGATGCTTACATTCATTGGAGAGAGTTGGTGCATGCACATAATACTTTTAATTATTATTCCAACAGCTGCCATTACCTCCAAGCACTCACCTGATGAAGGTAGGATACAGCTCTGCGTTCACCAGGCAAGCCACTTGCAACACAATTGTGATTCCCATCCGGCCCAAACAAGCCAAACTGATTTGTAGCCAGCCCAGACCTGCAAAGGAGCACTGGGAGAGTGATCACAGGGATGGGACCTTTCTCCCCAAGGCGCAGTGAGAAGCACTCAGGGTTGTACTTGGACAACTGGAGTTGGAAGAGCCTAACAAGTTTTTCTCTCTAACTCTCTCTTTTCTGGATAAACTGAGTCCCAAAAGGTTTGGGGCCCTGGTGAGACTTCCCTGCGCAGAAGAAAGAGTAAGCTTTTTTTGGTGGGAAGGGGTGGGACTAGAGATGGAACCAAAGGCCTTTGCACGGAGCTCAGGCTCCACTCGTTTAGACTTTTTGAGACAGCGTCTTGCTAAGTCACTAAGTTGCACCCTCCCTGCAGGCCGCTTGAGGTTCTTATCTGGGGGGGACCCAAGCAGCCCTGTCCCTGTGGGCACTGCTGGAAGGAATGAGTGACAGGGGAAGAATGTGAGCAGGACTGAGGGCAGGGCTGTGGCGTATGGTGTGTGCAGGAGTAGTGTGGGGTGGAGGACCCTGCATGAACTCTACAGGCCAGAGCCCCCTGCTCAGCCATTTGGCACTCTCCTTCCCAGCATCAGTGCTGTTATTTTCTGAAGTCTACCATTTGCAACATCTTCCCCAGGAGTCCAGAACAGGAGATGGGGGACAAAATATGGAGAATCTATTCCCAAACTGCTCTGCTCTCTTCCTGTTTGCTTTGTCCTCCCCCACTGAGCTTTCTTTCTCTGCTCCTAGTTTATTTCCAGCACAGCTCTGGAGAACACAGATACCACAGGACATTTTCCATGGTCCTTTGCATATGTACCTGCCAAAATGACTCATTAAGCCAACAAGTGCAAAGCCCAAACAATAAAAAAGGAGAAAAGAGCAAATCTGTCCAATATTTACTGAACATTTCCAAAGGCAACAAGAGTAAAAGCCAATTGCATACCCAAATGAAAAGTAACAAGAGACAATCTGCTTTACCTTTACACATAACTTGGATTCTCACGGGTTGTAAGAATTACAGACTAGCCTTCACATCTACCAAAAGGCTGATGTTAAAAAGACTGCATGCTAAGTGTTGGTGACGCTGTAGGAATATTCATGTGTCACTAGGAAAAAAGTAGGGTATAAAACAGCCCAACTCTTCTGGGAAAGGCAGTGTATATTGACTAAACTTTAAAAAAAAAATTAAGTTAAAAAAAATAAAGCCAAACTCATGTGCCCTGGAACCCAGCAAGTGCACTCATGCGTGGGTACCCAAGGGAAGCCAGAATGTGAGGTCCCCAAAGACACACACAGGATGTAACTCACAGCTTTACTCCTGATGATAAACTCTGAGAACAACGGAAGGGACACTGCACTGCAATAGGCATGCAGAGTGAAAGTCACTCACTGGAGGCCACACGATAATTTTTTAAAGGAATTAACTTCATTCTCATTTAACAACGTGTGTAAACTTCACAGATATAGTGATAAGACACAAAAAGAAAGTGGACATTTGGTGTGGCTCCATTTATGTGCAGCTTAGGGGCAAGAAAGGCTGATTCATTGAGTTAGAGGAGCTGTGGTTGGGGACAGGCATCGATTTTGAAGGGGCAAAAGGGGACATCTGAGGTGATGGAACTGCCCTGTCATGTCTTCATGCTATCCAAGTAGTTTCATGGGTCAACACTCATTGAGTACATGGGTCACACACTCATAACTTGCTCACGGTGTTCGTTATGCCTCAGTTTAAAATTTTAAATAGCAGGCATTGCACACATAGCCAGGCATAATCACAGCACTCTGAGAGTCTAATCCTCTGGGAGGATTAGAAGTTTAAGACCAGCCTGGGCAACTTAGCAACATTATTCACACTCTCTCTCAAAATACAAAATTTCAGAAAAGAAGGCTGGGGATGTAGCTCAGTGTGAAGAGCCTGGGTTCAATCCTCAGTACTGAAAAAAAAAAATTGTAAACGAAGGTGACATCCTGCCTTTGTTCTTGTTCCAGAAGCTGATCGATGAAAACCAAAATGAGTTACAACACTTTTTCCACAATCCAGTTTCCTGGAAAATGATGAAATGGATAACTCACCAGGTGGGACAAAAATGATGGTTAAACTGGCTGCTCCTGCCACAAAATTGGACAGAGCCAGAGGACGGATGCGGCCAACTCGGTCAATGGTGACAACGATGATGAAGGCTGCAGGGAATTCGACCAGGGAGGAGTATAAGAAATCCAGGTAGGGGTTTTCGCTGGTGGCCCCAATGTGCAAGATGAGACCCTGGTAGATCACCGAGCAGGTGAACCTGAGCCAGGAAGAGAATGTGGTCAGCGGCCAGGTAAAGGTGGGGAGCAGAACCAGAAGTGAAAGACACACAAGGGCCTTGGCAGTACAAGAGGGGAGTGGCTCAGAATCAGGAACGGGGTCCTGGAAGGGGCCCTGATGAGAAATTTCTTCCATAGAGGTGAGAGTATGCCTTAGAGGACCCCAAAGAATCTTGGAGATGAAAAACAAAGGTGGCTACTGTTCACTGCACACTTAGGGGTCAGGCACTTGGCAGGTGTCAGACACTTGGGGCCCTCTTGGCATCCTCTACATGCCAATAAGTCTCCAGGGAGGTTAGCAGGAAAAGGCAGTAGGTGGGTGAGCAGCATTAAGTATCAGGCTGCTTTCTAAGTGTTGTGTGATCTTCAGTAAATTAATTAGCCTCTCTGCAGACCTTACTTCTCTCATCTGTAACTGAGATAATAACAGTACAAACCACACTGGTTTGTCTTCAGTATTCATTGAGTTAATGGGCAAAAATCCCTATTATGGTTCCCAGTACATAGTATACACTTATAAAGACAAGCTCGTATGGACCTCATCATCGTTTTTCTTCAGAGCTCAGCAGAATGAGATGTTGGCCAAGCCTCTCTGACCTCCTGATGCTGTCCTTCACTAGACAGTGCTGTCTTTAACTGCAAATATTTACATACTTTGTTCTTTCACTGCACCGTCCTCCATTGAGGAAAGCATAGCAATGTTACAGAATGTGGCACACAGACTCAAGTCACTCTCTGTCAAGTAAAAACAAATGCTGGGCTTGGTGGTGCGTGCCTGTGATCCCAGCACTCTGGGAGGCTGAGGCAGGAGGATAGCAAGTTCTAGCTCAGCCAGGGCAACTTAGCAAAGCCCTGTCTCAAAATAATAAGGGAGAGGGGATAAGGATGTACCTCAATGAGAAGCCCCTGGGATTAATCCCAGGAATACAGAAACAATTTTTAGAAGTTTCTGGACTGAAATTGTAGCTTCCCTATCATGCATAGGTCCTGAGTTCAATTCTCAGTGCTGCACCCCGCCTAAAAAAGAGGATCCTGTGTATCCGTTTTGGGGATGTGACACTATTATTTTGGAAGCTACAAACATTTCATAATCATATTAGTGTTTACCTTGCATGATGAGATTTTGGCCAATAAGGAATTACTGCCCACGCCTGTAATCCCAGCACTGGGAAAGCTGAGGCAGGAAGATAGCCGTGAGTTTGAAGTCAGCTTAGACTACATAGTGAGTTCAAGGCCCCTCTAAACTACACAGTGAGACCCTATCTCAACAAAATAAATAAATAGGTAGATAAATAAATAAGGAATTACTATAGTATCCCAATAAGAGAACTGGCTATTGATTAGTCCTCAAACTGAGATCACATAGGATGTCCCTAATTAACAGATCCCTTGTTTTGTAAAGCCTCTGCTACAGAATCCTGGTATGCTTTAGCTTTCAGTCCCAAGTCATTCCTGACCAGACAAAAGGGACAGGTGACCAGGGTTTTTTGGATTAAGAAAGATACTTGCTGAACCTCAGTGAGTTCACATAAGCCTGAGTAGTGCTGCCCCTTCCAAGCCATTTAGTCAGTTAAATGGAAACATGAGGAAGAGATTGACTTAAGAGAAAAAAAATGCATAGCTCTGATGATCCTAGCAACAAACCAACTCACAAACATGCAGGCTGCCACCTTTCTGCAGAAATCATGAATTGCACATATATATTATGAAAAAAATAACACTCATGATCTTGAGTCTTTCCTGTATCTATATTGGACACACTTCTAAGCCCTTACACTCATATCCCCCAACATGACAATGCACTAGGTACCATATCTCTCCCCTGCTGAGGAGGACACACAGAGAGAGGACAGCACTTCCTAAAGGTCACTTCCAAAAAGTGTTGGGCAGATCTTTTGGGTTGCAGGAACAAGAAGCAGCAGGTGGAAGGAAAGAGAGGACAGAGGCCAGTTCATTTAAAGTCTGGGAAAGAAGCTGGGCTTATTCTCAGTGGAGTCGTGGACAGGGAGGGACAGACTTTGCCTGCCTTGTGAGCTCAACCTGGGGGCAGCAGTGCCACCTTGGAGGCTTCTGCAGGAATGCAGGCTGGAGAAATCACCTTACAGGGAACCTACTGACATGATGGGAAGCAGCCGATCCTGAGACATTTTCAAGATTGAGCTGGAAGGGCTTACTGGGGGATCAGTAAGAGAGCAGTAGAGTGAAAATGCCCTCTTGGGAGGAGTGTGTCAGGGAGGAGGAGGAAAACAAGCTTAAAGGAAGGCAAGCAATCATCTCTCTTTGCAACAATGGCCCCAGGTCCTCCATGGAGATGTTACTGGGCTGAACAGCTTCAATAGAAAGCCACCAATTGCATGAAGGATTTATAAAGGGTCATTCTGTGGCAGGGCACAGGACCGCATTGCAAACACAGACATGGGGTGGGTAACTGGTGAGGCAGGACAAGGCACAGCAAACCTGGTGCCTAGAGAATTGGGTGGATTATGGGAAATAATGGTTATTCACTCAGCTGTCAGTACATATTTACTGAGAGTCCATTCTGTGCTAAGTACCACCCTTCCAGTTCAACTCTATTCTAATGAACCTTATATGCTGGCATAAGAACCTGCCCATGGGAAGCCGAGCTGGGATCCCTGGGAGAGGCACAGGATCCAGCTGCCAAATCCTCCGGGTGTTTGGAGAGTCATTTCTGAATAGCTTTATTTTGATGACATGCCCACATGGAGGAGTTGGCCCACTGTCCTGAGGGAACAGGATAGGGATTCCTTAGGAGGGCACAGACGGCTGGGGAGGATCCATACTACATAGGATGTTTCCAGTCAATGGGTCAAGGATGCACAGATACTGCTAGTTGGTTGTGTCAGGTTTTGGATTAATAAAGGAGATTTCCAGGAGGCATGGGGATGGGAAGTCAAGGCACGGCTCTTTTCAACCCTGTAACTATTGACAGATGGCAACCACTGAAATGAACCTTTCCCCAGTATTCTGTCCTTAAGGGAGAAATAAGATGCTTTAACACTCTTTGAGCACTCAACAGCAGTATTAAGGTTTTTCTTTATTTGTGGACTTTGACTTCCACCCATGTTTGGCAGCGCGTGGGCTCAGCATGCGCCGGTGCTCACAGAGAGGCTCCTTACCACAGGTAGGTGGAGACCCAGGTGTGGGAGCATTTAGGATGGGCCCCTCACCCAGGCACATTGGGAGGAAGCCTTGAGGGCACGCAGGGAAGCTCTCTTACCACAGGTACATCAGGATGAATGTGTACTTCCGCAGAGTCGGCGAGCGGAACAGGTCCATGAACGATGGGCTCAGATTTTCCGTCTTCTCCTCCTCCGCAGAGAGCATCTGAGAGAAAGTGAGATCAACACCTCAACCAAGGACAGTGCCTCAGGGAAGAGCCCCAGATGGGCCAAGGCCACCACAAGGCTTCACAGCCATAGGTGAGCAGGGCTCCCCTGCCTCCAGCCACGAGGGACATTTCCAAATCACACCCCATGACCTAAGGACCCCTGTCCTGGCTCTGTCACCTTTAAATCAGCAACGGGCGGTTTCCCATTCTTCTGAGCGATGTGGTCCATGATCTTCATTGCTTGGGTGTTTCTATTCTGTGACAACAACCATCGAGGTGACTCAGGAACACACCTGTGGACACAGCTCGTCACCAGAAGGCATCTTCCCCAGATCATCTGACACTCCAGCTAACCAGTGCTTGGTTGTGCAGAGCTTGGAACTTACTCCTCAAGCAGATGGTGAACAAGATCTGAGTTCATTGTGACCTGGCCTGGAGGCCCTCACAAGAGCTTTTAGAGTCACTGGGGCTCAGAGCCACTTGTTAAGCCTTACAGAGAAGAGGAAAATACAGCATGCTGTGTTGTCTTCTTTCTATGGCGCATGAGCCCAGCTTTCCTGAAAGCTGACAGTCCCTGTCCCCCTGGAATACACTCACATGGAGTAGATACTCCAGGTACCATCCCCCATTCTCACAGCATCCCCCAAGCAAAACATACCATATTCATTTTCCTTTAAAATCAGACACCTTTAAATTCAGTCTATTTCAAATGAGGCAAGATTTTGCACCTTGGAGGCTGGGACTCTGGCATAGCATCTTCTAGAAGCTCAGACCTAGGCTAATCATCCTTTCTTCAGATGACCTCCTTTTCCCACAGGCTCCTCTGCACTTCCAGGCTGTAGATATGCACACTCAGAGGCTGGCTTTCCTTCAGACACCTCAAGTCTACTTAGTGTCACCTACAGATACTGTGTTGCAAAAGGTGCATGGATAAAGATATTTCTCTCTGATACTACCTCCTCCCACCACAATAAAATCTATCTTATCCCCGAAAACTCTGCAAAGAGCTCACAGCTATTAAGAATAACACTCCGGTTGGATGACTCTCTTTCATAAGGCTCCTTGTGCACAGTCTCCAGGGAAAATGAGAAGCCCTTTCACTCATAAATTCATTCAGCCAAGTACCAAATATGTGGCTAAATAAGAGGTATATCTGAGTCCTGTTAATAATAGCAATATTATCCTAAAAATGAGCTGACAGGAAGGAAGGCAGAAGGGAAAAAGAATGATAATAAAGTAGGCCGTGAAGTAAGAACATCTGACTTTCAGGACTGGAGAGACTCTGGGGAGGGTCAGTGTGGTAAAACAACCCCACTTGCACCTCACCCCTGTTCTGGACACTTTACATAGGTTATCTCCAAGATTTCATTGTCCAGGTCATTGACAACACCTAGAATGCTGCTTCTTGCACCCAGGCATGAGGCTGACCCACCGAGGCCAGTCTGTTTCTGGAAGATGCACATTTCAGACTTTGGGATAGACAGCCAAACTTGTGACCCATGAGGTTTTGTCCAACTTCTAGTAAAACTTGTGTCTAGGCGGGTGGCCCATGTGCATCTTTACAGGCTGTGTCTGAGGTCTCTGGGCAACATCAGAATGGCCCAGTGGCAGGGGTGGCTTTGGAAGCAGGTCTGTGCACATGTGTGTGCTCACCAAGGCCCCCTGAGGTGGCTTACATGGGGCGCCGGCCCCACTCCCTCCCAGTGACCCCCGTCCCATGAGCAGCCAGCAGGTAGTATTACCAGTAGTACAGCAGGAAGAGGAAGGTGGGCAGGGACACAGCCAGCTGGAGCCAGCGCCAGTGTGGAATGACATACGCCACCCCGGTGAGCACCACCAGCCCCACCGTGAAGCCCATCTGGTACAGGATCGCCACTGTCATTCTGTAGCCTGAGCCAACAAACTCTGTGACTGAAACAGAAAAGTAATCAGCATGCACCTCTCAGCACATGTGAGGTCCCTGGAGGGATCTGTATCCATCTGTCCTGTCCCCACATGTCCAACCCAGCTACCCACACTCACTTCTATGTGTCCTCCATTTCTCCCCCAGAGCACGCCTGCTGCCATCTGGCTCCCCCACTGAAGACAGAGGAGGCCTCATTCTGATGGACAGCAGGCAGACCATGTAATGGGCACACACAGGTGATCAAAAAGTACAGTGCATGCTTAATTAAAAACTATAATAAAAGACGCATTGCTAAGAACAGTGGGTTATGTACATTCAAAGCAAAGAGGGCTATTTTGAGTGTTTGGAGGGGAGTTAATGTAATAGTAAGTTAATGTGATCGTAAGCAATGACTTACTATTAAAAAATTTCTTAAATATTCACCATATTTTGTGATCACCCTGCATTGAGCAACCATGTACAGCAATTTCTCTCAAAAAAAAACATTACAGTCTTCATCTAACTCAGTCACTGAGTTAGCCATCTAACAAGTGGCTTCAAGCTCTTTTCCAAACACAAAAGGACTGTGAAATATAAATGTTTTGAATCAATCAAGACATTAAAGCAGCCAAAACAGCACAACTAACGATGCCTGTGAAGCAGGACTTCCAGAGCTGTTCAGAAGAGGCGAGAATGCTGGGAAAAGTGGGTTCAAAGTGAGGGCAAGTATTTTGAGGAGGATTAGTGGCAATGTGTCTTTTACTGTCGTAAAGTTTTAAATTTAAACAGCCACCACAGTTATTGACCATATCCTACAAATCATATGCTAAGTTAAAATGTGTTCCACTCTGGGGAAACCAAAGCTCAGATCAGGCAGGGAAATCAAGAGCAGGGCGGGGAGAGAGGTTGTTACACAGGCTGGTGGGGTACGGGGATGGGATGGAGCAAAGCCTGACAGGTGACGGGAGACTGCTTTCCAGGTGGGGACTGTAAGGAGGCCCGCGTGGCTGGAGGGGTGGACTGCCAAGGCGGTGAGTGGCGTCCAGCTCAGAGGGGCCACAGGGTCGGGACCCTGTAGGGATCAGCGTGCACTATGCAAACTGTCTTCCCCCGTGTGACAGAGAGCCACTGTCGGCAGAGTGCAGCCAGCTGCCACCTCCACTTTGCTGCTGAGTTTAGAACCCCCTTCAGATGCATCTGAAAGGCCTATTTGGGGACTTGAACCAGCAAAGGTCATAGAAAGGGTGGGATTCTGTGGTTTGGAAAATAAAGCTGACAGCACGATTCACTGATGGACTGGAGACAGGGTGCAAAGGACAGAGGTGGAGGTGATGTCCAGTTCAGGCTGCTCAGCCTAAGCACCTGGCAGAGCGCCCCGTCCTCTCTGGTTCTGCCGGTGGACAGCTTTCCCGTTTCTCAAGGCAGGACTGTGGTTGCCCTCAGCCCTTTAAACCACTATGGAGAACCAAGAGGTAGGACACTGTTCTCACAAATGACCAGTAAGGTTGTTTCTTTTCTCTTCTCAAAAAAGCAAAAATGTAGCTTCTCGTCCCTGCTCCGAAGTGCCAGTTCACAGACTGGGGAAAGGACTCATAACTCACGCTGCTTTTCTCCAGGAAGGGAGTTTTCAGACCTTTCGTTCTTATCATCTAGAGAATGTGAAGAAGAAAAAGACTAAAACATAGGCTACCCGCGCTGGCTTACACCTCAGCTTTTTAAAAATCGTGAAGGCTACTGCTTCTCTTATTTCCACTGTTACGCTCTCTCCTACATCTGGAATAACATTCAGACTGGCTGAGTGCTTGATTGTTTGTTTGTTAATTTCTTTGAAGAAGTTTCTAGTTCTTTCATATTAAAAAGTTTTTTTAAAAGCCAGTGTCTCCATGCCCCACACTACCTCCTACTGTGGTACCGTGAAAAGGAGGCCACGCCTGCCCCATGCAGGCCCTGGCCACACACATACAATTAACTGTCACCTTTTCTTTTATTTTTATTCTTTTCTCTTCTCTTTTCTTTCCCTCCTTCCTTTCTTCCTGCCTTCTTTCTTTTTGGGTATGACGGTTAAACCCAGGACTTTTGTGCTAAGCTACATCCCCAGCCTTTTGTATGTTTTTATTTTGAAAAATAAGTTACTGAATTGTGCACACAGGGCTCAAAGTTGTGGTCCTCCTGCCTCAGCCTCCTGGAGTGCCAGGATCACAGGTATGTGCCACCATACTGGCTAACTATCCCCATTTCTGCACACACTGGAAACCCCCCTGTCCCCTAGAGCCCCATCTCCATGTTCAGCTTGTCCCCTCTGACTGTGCCACCTGACGTCTGTTGTGCATTCACACAGGAAACCTCCGCCCCATGTGTAATTACTCAGGGTGTAGCCAGTCATCCAGGTGCCCTTGCTGACCATTCCCTGCACCAGGCGGAAGAGAAACATGGATGTGTAGTTTGGAGCCACTGCTGTCAGCACACCCGACACAGCAGTGACCAGGGAGGTCCCCAGGAGACACAGCTTGCGGCCAAACCTGCAGAGAAGTGGAGGCAAGAGCGGGGAGGAGGAGTCAGCTATGTACATCCCCACGGCCCCCAACACCGCTGCCCCGTGGGTACCAGGCTTCTCCACCACATCTCCAAACAAGACCCTGTTTCCTCCAAAGTCTTTCCCCACAAGTAGCTGTGACACAAGCTGCTCCCATGCCATCTGTCCTTTCTCCAAATGACTCTGCTCCCCAAAATGTGGCTTTTGTCCCCAGTCTCTGTGTCCCACCCCACTGTACGACCTGTGTTTGCACTCGTCTCTGCCTGCAGCCCACAGCAGTCCCAACATGCCTCACCCCCAGCAAATTCTGCAGTGGAGCCCCACCCACCGCGTTCTCCACCCCTGCCCCAGATCCTAGGGTCCTCAAGCGTGGAGGGTGTATTTCACTCACCTGCCCTGACCTACCTGTCTGCGATGTAGCCAATGCCCAGGGAGCCGAGGAAGAAGCCCAAGCTCACGGAGGACTGAAAGAGGTCCACCTTCCAGGCATCTGCACACACCAAGTTAAACTGCCGGCCACACCATGTCGAGAGGGGCGGGAACACAGACTGTGTATTAGTGGGGACCCCACGCTTCTCTCCTCCCTTGGATAAGGCAAACACTTGACATAAAACTTGGGCTCTCCCAGCAATTTCACCTACTTTAATTACATTTTCCTAAGACACAATTTAAGGTTGCTAGTGACTCTCAGGAAGTAGAAACATATTTTGAGCACCTTTATGTCACCCTCTTTAGGTGTTAACCAAAGCAGAAGTTGTCAAGAGCTTTGTCAAAGGAAGCTGGCCATCAAAGTAAGAAACTTCTGAGAAGGGAGAAGAACACAGACAAACCTTCTCAGAGGAGTCGTAGCTGCCAGGAAAGTTATCTAAAAACAAATGCAGCCAAGTACGTTCTCAAAAAGGCAAAGAATTATAACATGTTCCCAGGGTTGGTCAAAGAGACTTCATTAATTATGTATTAGTTATTGTGTATTTAATGAAATAAATTTTGTGACCTACAGGGCATCTTGGGGACAGCTGGCTCACCAGCAACATGGCTTGGGGGCCTGAGAGATAGGATGAGACTCGAGGTCCCTCCTGCCAAGAGCCAGGAGAGGGGACAGAGCAAAGGACAAGGATGTGGACTGTGAGAGCAGTGCCTGTGTGGCCTGGGTTTGGGAAACGCAGAGGCCTGGAAGAAGCAGGCCACTCGGGCTTCTCTGGCCCTAAGCACGGGGTGACTCTAGCACGTGCCCAAGCATGCTGCAAAGCCTGGACCAGCAAGGTCAGTTCTTCAGAGCTAAGCAAGGCAGAATGGAGATTCCAGGAGGTGGGCAGGCCGGAGCTGGGGCCTCCCACCCCCTGCCCATTTTTGGCACAGCCCACTGTTGGCTTCCTTCTCTTCCTGTCTCTCTGCATGTCTTTGCTTTGGATTTGTTGTTCCACCTAACCAAGAGGACAGATCATTCCACGGTATTGTCTGGCTATCCAAGATTCTGTGTCTCCAACAGTCTCTGTGTGTCCTTCCTCATCCAGGACAATGTCCTATGTATCTCCAAAGTCACTGGGCCTCAGCCTGTCCCCTTCTTCACTGTTCTTCCAGTCTTTCAAGGCACCGTGTATTGTTCTGTGCCTTTTTCTAAGTCCCAGGTTACCACCTTGTCTGAGAATGGTGTGTGGAGCCAGGCAGCTCCCTGAACAGGACATGCATCTTATTTTTCCACTGTCAATACCCATGGAGGATTAACTGTGCCCCCACATGGCTTGCAACCCTGCTATATCTTCTCAATACCAAATTCATCCCAGCCACTGCACTCAGGGTGGAGAAAAATACCCTGAGAAAAATCGACATAGCCCCACAGAGAAGTTGGATTGCATAAGGCAGGGAAGAGGAGGGGCTCCCTGTGTTCAGTGCTCCTGCCAAGGTTTCACCAAGGCTCAGGCAACTCTTTCCAGCCCAGTATTTAAATCAATGGGACCAATGGTTACCAGCTTGCCTTATCCCGAGACTCACACAGAGTCCCTGTTAAGTATCTGTTCTTAGTGGATTCTGCCTCAGTAGATCATGAACGGAAATGCAGATGACTTGTAGGACCAGGCAAGTTTGGACAAATGGACACAACCAACTTCTCCTTTCTGCCCAAGACCTTACCCTCTTGTTTGACACTTGCAGTGGATGAAACCAGTGGGTCCCTAGCCTGGTACAGGGCTGTGGCTGACGCCATGACAATTACAGCAGAATCTCTACATGAGGGGAGTCAAAATCCATCAAATACCACTTTTCTTTCACAGGCAGCTACGTGATTCCAGTCACTAAGCCTCAGAGAGGGAGGTTAAACTTGGTGTTGAAACAAGGGCCTTCCATTAAACAAGCTCCAATGTCCAAGGCAATGCTAAGTTAAAAATTAGTCCTGCAGAAATAAATAACTACAGATCGTTCTCCAATACTAATCCTCAGTTTAGGGTAAGGAGTTGGGCAAAGGCAGTTTGAAGGCAGTAGGAAGGGAAAATTAAAGTACAAGATAAGGGTCAAGGATGTAGCTCGGCAGCACAGCATCTACCTGGCAAGCATGAGGTCATGCGTTCAATTCCCAGTATCAAAAAATAAAATAAAGTGCAATTTATAACATTTGTTCAAGAGCCCAGGACATTTGGAATCAAGAGGGCCCTTCCACCCTGCTTCACCCCACACTTCTATTTATCTCTGAATATTCCCAAATTCATCCCACTACCTTTCAAAGCCAACACAGCCAGGGGGCGCTTTTTCTCCTGTAACCCTCATTGGACCTGTCAAGAAGAGTTCCAGGACTTCCAAAACCTTCAACAAAGCACTTGCTCTTGGCGTCATTTGTTCTTAGGACATCCCTTCTAAAACCCTTTTCTCCTCTTATGTGTGTCCCCTCCTTCCCATTCCTGCTGCCACAGGTCACCACCTCTGCACCTCTCCAGGCTGCTACTTCTCTGAGGTCCCACTCGGTACTCACTACCTTCCCTTGCCTGCACCTCCCCAGGTTAAAACTTTCAGCCATGTTGGGTTCTCCTTCTCCCTGTGCAATATCATACCTCTTAAAGTGACGCCTTTGTTCCCATGGCAGCCATGTTGAGTGATATTTTTCATCTGCTTTCTCTTCTTGGCTGCCTTGTGCATCTTTTTACCTCTTGCAAGCCTCTACTCCCACCACCATTCTGCTTCTGAACCATTCCCCAGATCCAATTAGAATTGCCTTGCTCGTCTGCCTGGATAAGACCAAACTTTCATACGGCACTGAGGTAGGGTTGCCACATTTAGTAAACTAAAATGTGAAGTGCCCATGTAAATTTAAATTTCAGGTAGACAGTTTTTAGAATAAGTATATCCCCATGCAATATTTGCATTCATAAACCCAGGCCCCATTATCAACATATAATATCATACAATATTTAGGGCTTAATTATCCTTTTTAAACTGTGTTTTTTGAAATTCAAATTTAACTGGGGATCCTGTTTGTTTCCTGGTGACCTAAGAATTCATATTTTGACCCCAAGGTCAACATTGTCCTCCCTCATCTACAGGCCCCTGAATATGAATCATTTTAATAACTCCTGACAGTAGCAAAAAGTCACTGTCCCTATCCTGGGCCTGGACCTGGGATTTACTCCCTCTCCCCACCTGTCCCCTCACCTTACTGGTCAAAATGCATGCAGGATTCAGTTCAAATGCACCCCAGGAAGACACCCACAATTGTCTCTGAGCTCTGCTCACAGCACTTCCGTGCGGTTTTGGGCTGCTGTTAAGTGAATGCTGATCTCTCCCACTACTTCTCCTCTCTCACTGTGAGCCTCAAGGCTCCTGGTGGGGTCTTGGCAGCCTTTTGCTCTGTCCCCTCACAATATCACCCCCAGAGGTAGGGCGGAGAGGGAGCTGGGACACCCTTAATGAACACATGGAGGAAAGACTGGATGGATGAATGCTTGCCTCGGATCATCTCAAACAGTGGATCGCTCATTCCTAGAAAACAAGTATGCCCCAAGCTTGGCTCACATCTAGATCACTATGGAGCTGGGCATTCCTGGAAGGTGACTCTATTGTAATTCACTGTTAGAGAAGCTGTGGAGACCAGATGTCCATTCACAGCATCCCAGTGCCGTCTCTGCCTAGTGAACAGAGAGGTTGCTGCTGCTCAGAGTAAGGGGAGGAACACTGGACATCGCCAGTGACAGTCCTAAACATGTTGACCCCGAAGTCACTAAGGGAAAGAGAGAAAGGAGAGAGGAAGCCCAAGCCTGGTGCCTGCCAAGCACACTGTGATAGGAGCCTTCCTTCTTTTCTGGAAAAAAAATAAAAGGACTTGCTCTGCGTCCACCCTATTCCTCAAACACACACATCATCCAAAATGCAAAGTCTGGTCTTACCTCAGTGACGATGGAGGAGCCAGGCGTGTCATACACCCAGCCATGCTGACAGGGGCCCAGAGGCAGGTGGCTCCTGTTGTCAGCCAGGCTGGACAGAGGGTCTATGCAGCTAAGGGTGCTCTGGTTCCAGTCCACCTCATACTGCATGCACTGCTGGAGGAATATTTCATTTTCAGCCCCCAGGCCTGGAACTGTATAATTGCGCTCATCGGCCAGGCTCCAGCCACATCTCTGGCTCAGCTCGGCCACCCCAGGATTCCGGCACCAGTGGTCAGGAGTAAAGCCCAGAAAGATAATGCCCACATAGATGGGGGCTAAAGCAACTGAGATCAGGCACAGGATCAGAAAAACTTGCTTCTGGAACCAGCCAAACTCCCCAATCTGCTCCAGAACATCATCCACGGTGGGCATGTTTGGGCAGCGCTCTCATCAACCTGGCCAGATGTGTTCTGGGCTGCAGTGGCCCCATTTAAGGTCTCCTCTGAAGCTCTTGGAATAGGGTGATTGGAAGTCAAGTTGCTGTCCAACCATGATACATCAGGAAAACAACCAACCAGAAATAACCTTTTACCCCGTGGTGCCAGCACAAGGGCAAGGGTAGAAGACACGAGGCTGGCTGGTTGCTTTGTTTGCTTTGCTGGGAAGCTGAGGCCTGAAAGCAATGAGTTCCTCCACACAGCAAGAAGAGAGCCTATAACCATGTGCCATCTCGCAGGGCCCTTCAAAACAGAGTCTCTGGTAAAGGACTTTATAGTCTAGATAAATCAAAAGTAGTAAACTTACACAGCACGATGGAGTGATAAGATAATTCAACAAAGAGCTTTTTATAACCTAGATAAATCAAAGGTAGCAAATTGACTATTTGCACAATAAAAAGGTTTTTATAACCCAGATGAATCAAAGGTAGCAAACCAACTATTCCCATAGCAGTTTATTGTTCTCAACAGAGTAGGGTCTATGCCCCTGCACAACTTGATTGAGCACAGTTTATTGCTTCTATGGACATTGGGCCAGTCAATTGAGAAGGATTTAGGATAAAAATTCATGGGAAAAAAAATGGGCAGCAAAAGACCACAGGCCACCCAGGGACCATCCTAACAGTAATACCAGCTTGTGTTTTTGGAGCATGGATCCAGGATCGAGTTTGTCATCTGATTCATTCTCACTGTGGCCTTTGAGATGGACGCTGTCATTATTCTCATTCTACTCCTGGGAAAATAGACAGTAAGGCAGTAAAGTCTCTGTCACCATCCAGTGCTGTAGAACTTGAACCTGTCCCACTCCAGAGCAAGGGCCCATGGCTCCCTGAAGACTCTTCACTAGTTGTTTCTGGCTTATGCCTACACATTTCAGGCACTGTGGTGGGCTCCAGGCTGCAGAAATGAGAAGGTTCCCATTGTTAAGCAGTGTACAGCCCAGAACAGGAGATCGACTTGCAAAGAAACAATTTCTGGGGCAGTCACAGCAGCCAGCACAAGGGCCTAGGGGAACCCTAACACTGGCCCCTCAGCCCATTTGTCCTACAAGGTGAGCAGGACAGAGCAGATGAGAGAGAGAAGCAGAATATGGCAGGTACCATGAGTGACTCCGAACACCCCACCTTCTGTTCACATCCTTGTAATTTTCCTGAAACCAGTGAAAACAGCAAAGGTCATGTTGACACACACACGATTGTGTCACATAAGATTGTAATGTCCACTTTTTTGGAATCTCTCTCCTTTGCAGGCTTGCTGAAGGGAGTCACCTTTTGGGAGGCCCATATGACAAGGAACTGAGGGAGCGCCAGCAGGTCACCAGCAAGAAGTTGAGACACTCAGTTCTTCCGCTGCAGGGACTGGATCTTACCACAACCAAATGGGCTCAGAAGAGCTGCTTTCTCCAGACAAGTGTTACCGTGAGGCTGTAGCCACCTTTCCAATCCAACCCACAGATAATGACAGATAGGACTATGTGGCTTTGCACTGACATGCTTGTGGCGAGGTTATTATGCAGTGATGGGGTAACCCTGCACTCTGGGCTCAGAATGCATGTGCAGCCTGGAGGGGTGAGCTGGGCTCTGTCCTTCTGCAGAGATTGTGCTTCCTGTTCAGGCTCTGCTGTGCCTACAGGCACCCGTGATGAGGGCCTGTGAGGCAGGGCAGCAGTTTGGACACACCCTCCCTCCATCCATTAGTCTTCTGGGAACATGGAACAGTCTGTACTTGGCAGGTCCTCAGCTCCAGGGCAATCCTGAGCAAGGGGGTGCTCACCGCAGGACAGAGATGGGAGCCAGGTGGTTGAGTCCTCTGGCCTCCATCCCAGACACATCTTCTGGTTAACATGGGACTTGCTGGGTTGTGAGGCTCACCCTGAATCCACACAAAGATGCCCTGCACTGTCTAGCAGAACCAGACCACCCTAAACCCATCTGGGACTTCATTAGGTACCACTACCTTCCCTGAGCAGGCTCCAAACTGCCTGGCTGAGAAGCAGCCTGAGCTCCAGGAAACAGCAGGAAAAACTCTACACATGTGTGAGACCCCAGTTGGCTCTAGCCTGGCCTTGCACATGGAAGGCTTCAAGGCCGAGCAGAAAACACCTTGCCCTGCTAGTATTTTACCTCTAGGGGGAAACAGAGTTGGATGCCTCCTCATGAACACAGGGCAACCAATAGAGAAATGGGCTCCATCAACATTTTTGTCTCTTTGTTGGGTGGACACTCAGAGCTGTCACGTCCAGCCCAGCAGTCCACTGGATGCCTTGGTCACAAGCATGAACTACACTGAGGGGAAGCGTGGAGGGGCTGCAGCTCTGAAATTCCCTCTCCCATGAGTTTGCTTCTTCAGAAGCGCCTGCCTTTACAGGAGGCTGAACTCACGCTGGCAGGAAGAAGGCAAGTCCCTCCCCAGCACAAGGTCATAGACTGCACTCAGAGCTGGATGTTTTTTCTTTCCTGCCAACTCTAAATATGCACTCCCATGAACCAGGGTGCCCTGCAGGTGCTTGGGAAGCAGCCAGTGTACCAAGGTCAGTGTACACCGGGAGAGAGCAGGGGCCCCACCTTGCCTCATGTGCGCAGCAGCCAGCCAAACATGAAGGCCCAGCTCACATATTCTCTGGATTAAAACAGCCGCCCTATCTATCCTGATGGGTGCAGGTCCTCTTTCTTTGCTTACACTAGGGAACAAAGTGGGTGGTTCCTGTTTGCTGTCATCCAGCTTCATGTTTTGGGCCCACATAGAATGGTCAGATATCTGGAGTGATTGAAATTTCAGGGGCAGAAGTGACTGAGGATGTAGCCAGTGAGAACTGAGGAATCCAGATGACAGAGAAGGCTCTTTACTGAGCCTGAGACTCATAATCTGACAAAATACTTGAGTTACCCACATGTCTTAGATGAGAACCAAGGCCTGGAGAGCAACTGGAATGGTCTAGACATGATTTGTCCCTGCTGACACTGACATTGAAATTTGTCAGGCAACAGTATTAAGGAGTGATGGGAATTCAGCAGGTATTTGGGCAGCCAGGCATAGTGGCCCACACCTGTATTCCCAAAAGTCTGGGAAGCTGAGGCAGGAGGATCACAAATTCAAGCCCAGCAATTTAGTGAAACCCTGTCAATAAATAAATGAAGGGCTGGAGATATAGCTCAGTGCAAACGTCCTGAGTTCAGACTCAAGTATAAAAAATAAAAATAAAATAGACCTTGAAAAGGTAGCTGCTTAGCTTATGGGAGATATGAAGCATTAATGCAGGTCGTCCTGGGAAGGTTAGTATGAGCGAGTTGTCATAAAACACCAGCCCTGAGCCACCTCCCTCTTCCACATGTGTCCGTCCCCTTGTCCTTTATGATTTCTGTCACGGGCACAAGGCCTTCCCAGTTTCCCAAGGTAGAAGCTGAAATAAACCTCTTTTCTTTCTTTATACATTACCCAGCCTAAAGTACTTCCTTTCTTTCTTTTTTCCTGTTTTGTTTTATCTTTTTGTCTTTTTGAGATGGAATTTCGCTATGCAGTTCAGGCTGGCCTTGAATTCACTTTGTAGCCTGGACCAGACTAGACTTGAGCTTTCACCAATCCTCCTGCCTTAGCCTCCGAGTGCTGAAGTACTTTGTCATAACAAAACAAAACAAAGACAGTAGGCCACCTGCCCCATGCCATGTGGTCAGCTCAGATCAAGTCTCAATAAGTCAATTCACACAAACCCCCATCTTCAGTAGCCAATTTTCCAAAAGTCATACTTTTTCCCAACTCAGGCAATATCAACACAGACACAAATTCCAGGTGGTAATCTCTTTGGTTTGGGACAGTTGACCCCGGGCCTTAGTACTTCCTGGGGTCATTGAGGAGGCAGGAATAGAACCAACTACAGCATCAAGAACACCAGGCTGACCTAAAAAGGAAGAAAGAACCTCGTGCAAGAGCAAGCCAGATGCTCATGGTGCGCCTCCAGTGCGCTCTGGGACTGCCTGCAGAATCCCAGACACTGTCCCAGGGAAGTGGCTGTAAAGGTTAACGAGGACCTGCCTGAAGGACTGAGATGGCATGGCCTGGGAAGGCACACAGTCTGGAAATAAGAGCCACCCCTGGGGCTGGGCCTGCTAACCTCCCCCTGGTCCTGAGGGTGGCCAGGACAGTGCTCAGACCCCTGTAGGTACCCCAGGCTTGTGCGCACTCACTGCCCCTGCAGTTGGTTGTATGCCCTGTGCCGGTCAGAAGGGGACCGGTGTTAGGGGCTGACCCTGTCCTCCAGCACCTCTTTCCTCGACGGCACAGGCTGGACACCAGAGTTGTTGACTCACTCTGGTGAGCACTGCCTTAAGGGCCTCGGTAGGATCTTCAGAGCTGCCCTCCTTGGGACACAGACACCACAGTTCTGCTGCCTAAATTTCCCCACCCTGGCCCCTGGCTGGCATAATGACACAGAAGGCTGAGAGGGCCCTCCTGTCTAACTTGCCTCCCTTGCCAGCACGGTCACCAGTGGAGGTTGCTGGCGACCTCTGCTTCTGTTTCCTCTCCAGGTGCTGGACAAGCCAGATCCAGGGACACCTATCTGCCCAGGACCCAGGACATGCATGAACCAGAAGCCACGTACAATATCCCCACCTTCTCTTGCCACACCAACAGAGTTCACTGTGGGTGGGGTTGGGGGTCCCTGGGAACACAGCCCGACCAGTGCCCAGAGAATGCAGCTAACTTCCGGTTGGAGGTGAGGCCACCACCTGCACTCGGTTTCCAGTTTGGTTCTGCCCAGCTCAGGCCTCACCTTGTTGGCACCTGGCCAGGCTCACTCAAGACTTTGACATCCGTATGACAGCCTTGTCACAGGCCAGTTTGGGTCTCAGCTACGCTTTTTTCCTGCCCACTCTACCCCCCACAGGCACCCACAGGACCACTTATCTACCCACTCCCTCATTCCACTGGTGTGCAGGGTCTGCCAGGCTCCATGTGTGGCACTACTCAGAAGACACAGGACCCAGACACCAGTGTCCTGGCTGTGGAAATGTAAGGTCTGTTCCTGAACAGAGCAGGCAGACTGGACAAAGAACAAAGCCTTCTGGCCAGAACAGACCTGTGCTCTCTCCCCAGCTGACGTGCTGGAGTCTTAACCCCAAGATTTGACAATGTGGCCTTGTTGGGTGACAGGGTCTTAACAGAAGTAATTAAAATAAGGTCACGTGGGT